AATCACTATTTTGCTCATTTCATCAGAGACTACTAAGCTAACAACATTTACAGATGACTTAAAGTTTGAAAAGTAGGGTGAAAAGATTTATTAGGAGTATATTCCACCACTGTATTAAACATTCATACTGTCATGACTTGAAACCCGAGTCTATACCTTAAATCAAATGAAAAAAAAGTAAAAGTAAGATCCATTTCAACATAGACAAAAATAAGGAAAAGCAATGGCACATGGCAGAAAGTTAAAGCCGGCACCTGCTAGACGGAGGCTATGCTCCAGGATTGGATCCTTAATCTGGTGTATTTTGATGCATTTCTTGTTCCTTCTCTCTCGTCTTTCTCTGTCCATGTTTTTCTAGATTCTGTGAATAGAGGGCACTAGTGGTGCAAAATTCTAAATATTTAAATAAAAACAAAATAGTAGCATTTATGGTATTGTTTAATTCTGTCAAAAGCCTTAGACCTCACCAGGAGGATGTTATTATGATAAAGGTGGCAGCAGCAGCTGGGTCCCTTTTGAACAAGACATTCATTGTAAGGAGTGTTTCCATAAAGACCAGCTATTAGCCTTCTGGGGCTCCAAGAAAACACACACATTAAAAGTACATCCCACACGGTCAAAACAACAGGAGGTTATTAATGGTCAGGTGTTGTTGCCGTTCTGCTTCAAGCACTTCTCCAGCAAACTGTGTCCCACAAGGAGCCATAATCATCTCCTGCTCCCCAGCAATCATTTACAGCAGCACCAGCTGTCCAATATCCTCTGGTCAAACTGGATCCACAATCTCATAATAGTCTCGGTGTCTCAGCTGATTTAAGTCTCGGCAGCCGCGACAGACCTTCAATCTGTTGGTTTTATCATCCGAATTGAACGCCCGACTGCTGGTGGAAGTCTCTAATGGGGGGAGAGTGGAGGATCTGGCAGGTATAAATTTGTCAGTAACCCTCACAAAAAAAAACCATGAAAGACCAATGTGATTGATATCAGAATAGGATGAATAGTATTAATAGGTCTGTCGGTAATTTAAGACAGGAAAGGGTAGCATTGTGCAAACAGGGAATGTAAACGGAACAAAAAAGTACTGGTTAGAGGACGAACATTAAATAAAGGACCTAAAAATTTGAAGGTTAAACGTTTTTATAGAAGGTGCTCAAAATTCATGATTAGTTAGTTTGAGTGCAGTTGTAAGATAATAGGAATCTTTGAAGAAAAGGATTTTTCTTTTCTATGCTCATTTTAGAAAGTGCCACCAGAGATCCCATATATACAAATTTGCATGGAACAGTGAACAAAATAGGGGAACATCTTCTGAATGACTTTAATGGCAAGCAAATGTGGAATAATGGAGCAGACGAAATATTCTGCCCTGGTAATGTATTCACATTTCACTCATTCAGCAGTGGTGGACGATTTTACGCTTCTCTCTACTCAACTCAGTTGGCCTGCAAATCAATGACCATTACAGCGACTGAATGTTCATATGTCAGTGCATCTAGTAATGCTTCGGTCTCTTCCCTTGACTGCAGTCTGCAGCTGAATAAAATCAAACATGCTCGATTTATAAGGCTAATTATGGTGACATATTGACCTCCACTGACTTGAAAAGATTCTGATAATGAACTGAACCACTAGTTCTCTGTGGTTGTTAGAGGCAATGTTAAACCATTATTTATCCAGCCAGAGCTTACTGGACAGGAACATTTCTTTTAAAGCAATGCCAGTATTGGCACCCTTAAAGTTTCACAGCTTCACATCTGCACACAGGACACTGCAAAAAACAGTCTGTTGCTCCAAGCACCTTCTTTCAATTGCCAGTGGCAGCTTCAAGGACATCTCTTAAATTCAAAAGAGCTTGCTCTGAAACAATTTGTGTAACTTCAGTTTGGATTATTCACTAACGGTTTTATAAGGCTGAGTGAATAAAAGGCTTCCAACAAGAATCAAAGTGAATGTTAAATTCCAAATCTAGAGACGTAAGGCCGTGTTCCTTAAAAATACCTCTGTTCCATTGATCAATCATAACAGCTTTAAAAACATTCTTTAAATTTAAATCTTCCCGTCTTTTGCCATCAAGAAACATTTAAAACGACTTTCTGTTAAAAGTATTACACACTTCTATTTTTAAGTGTTTCTACTTTAAAGTAAAAGAGAAAAAAACACGTGCATGAGTGAACTAATGGGAAAATCTATACAGCTGAAAGTAAGTCAAAATTTCAAGAGACACTGAAAGATAAAGCACCCTTTTGTCCTCTTATTTACTTTTTTATTATTTGACAAAGCATAATGAATCTGGCATTTTTACATGTATTAAACAAACTCTTTGGGAGGGCCATTTATTTAACAATTTTCATTGAAAATTGATAACTTGAATAAATTTGCTTCACAAATATCTTTATTAAGAATGAAAATTATTAATAATTCTTGTTTTATAAATGTTTATGGTTGCATAATATGTGAATATTTAATTCTGTTATAATGCTAACATCAACACAATATAGTAGTCTGAAGTTGTGTGAAACTGAGCTTTGGCGTAGCCAGATCTTATTACAGTATCTGATAGATCTGAATAACTGCTTCTTCCTATGCTTATATTTCTCAGATTCAAAAAGCTCAGTTAAAAATTAAAATAAAAACAAAAGAATAAAAATAAGGGTCAGCATCATTCAAGCTTTTGAGTGTTGCTTTTGATTTAAGGAAGCAAAGGGAAGCAGAGGCCACATGTTTTCTTCTGGACGGTAGGTTAACCCACTAGTTTCGGGGGAGTTAAACCTGTAACTATAACAATTAAGCATTTTTTAGAATAAATGTCAATTTTCTTTTCTAACCAGATTTAAAAATAGGACCCCTGTGTTATTTAAAGTGAAAGAAAAAAAAGATTTTCTTAACATCTATTCCATTACCTGGTAAAGAGCACCAACAGAAAAGGAACCAATCACATGACAGCCAATGAAGGCCTTTTGCCAAGTTAATAAACTGCTGAGATCCTGAGGATTATCCAAAGCAATTATTGTATGTTTATACAGAATGGTCCTAAAAACATAAAATATCCAATGGGCAGCTGAAAAAGCTAACAAAAATAAATGATGGTCCACAACAGCAGAACACCACAGAAGACCAGGAGGTTCCTAAAGGAAGCTAAGACACTGGGCTAGCCTCCTCAAGGTACAGATTTAAAATGCTCCCTAGTCTATTTTTGTTATAATTCAGATAAAACATTTACATGGTAGAGTCACAAAAGCATGGACCCATCCGGATCAAACCTTGTGTTAGTTATGTAAAGGCATGAGGCATATTTTACTGGTACACTTTGCCCAAATTAGTATAACCGAGCACCACTTAAATGCCATAGCCTAAATTTCACCATGTCATAAAACTCAAATCATCTTAAACTGGTTTCAATACAATAGAACAGAGTTCCGTGTGTTCTAATGGCTTCCACAGTCTGCAAATCTAAACCCAATAGATTAATTTTGTGATGTTGAACGGGAGATTTACATCATTGATGCAAATGAACTGCTTAACATCATCATCAACATAAACCAAAATGTCTGAGGAATGGTTGTGTCAAGTTGATAAATCTATTCCACAAAGAGTTTAGACAGCTCTAAACACTAAAGTCTTCCAACCCACAGCTACCAAGGTGTACCTAATAGGTGACAACTGGCTTTGTATAAAGGTGCCCAAAACACAGATGTTTGGGATTTTAGGGAAGGTGTGGAATGGAAGGGTCTCCACAGCCACACTGTTGCCATAGTGAAGCAGCTATGCTTTGAGGTTGTGGTATCAGTCGCAAATTACATGTTCAAATAAACTCAAACAGATGCTTTTCATGAAAAGATTTAGATCATCTAAATAATATGAGTTTAAGACGGGAAAAGAAGCATAAAAAATAAGGTTACAGTGCACAACGTTAGCCCACTTGGCAGCTATGAAGTTAATGGCAGAGTAGACTACTTGACTAGATAAACATGACAATTAGCCTTCAACTCTTAAGTGTATTACAGCATTGCTACTGGACACTTTGCCTGAATGTGATACTAGAGAGGTGTATTTGTATATGGGAGTATTATACTGACAAAGTGACAACAGGAAGTAAAACAGTATAGTAATATTGCATACTTATATTGGTTTTGCCTTCACTTCAAATAAACTTTTTTGAGTTTTTCAGTTTCTGATGGACAAATTAATCAAACAAATACATCATATTCATCCAGGGTTAATGGGTTACATATTTGAAATCATTTTTATATTAATACCTTTGAAAAAACGAACCAAATCAACTCACAACCCAATCCAATGGGGGGATAAATGAATTTATATGTGTAATGTCGCACCAATTGTATTTCAGTTTTACATACTAGCCATTTTTTTTTTTATAGAAGCTAATTAAAATAAGCCCAACTTTAAAACATTTAACTCAAAATACACACAAAAAAGTTTGAATCCCTGTGTGCATAACCAGTTTAATTGACAGTAATTCAGTAGTTGTACATTTCAACAGTCAATCATATTCAGGCTCATTTACTTTACTGTAAATGGGTCTACAGTTTATAAAATAAGCATTTAAATGAATGAGAAAGACCCTAAACTAATTAAAGAAAATCTATTTAAATCTCTCAAGGTACTGTACTTTGACAAACAATCTTTTTTGTACAATCACCATTGGCTATTTAATAAAAACTTGGTCATTTTAACTGAGACCAGACATAATGTAATTTAGGGGTAGGGGTAACCTATTGTATAATGTAAATCAATATGATCCATATCAGTAACAGTTTTTATCTATTTAGTGGTAGTTAAAAAAAAAAAAACTCAAACATCAAGAGCCTAAATTATAAAAGTTTTTTTCTGGTGGGAGTTTGGTGACCCATTACTTTTCACAAACACTGCTGTCACACTCACACAGTGTGTTCATCATTCAAGCTACTGGGCTGGCTGGGGATAAAGGAAGCAGCAGATCTCACCAGAGAAAAAGGACAACAGACTTCTATTAATCTTACCTCGTCTCCTGTCAGGTAGTACGCTGAAAGCAACCCGCCGACGTAACGGATGTTCACCTCAAAAAGGGATGCCTCACCATTCTGTTGAACCGAGAGAGAGAGAGAGAGAGAGAGAGAGAGAGAGAGAGAGAGAGACAGAACAAATTGTCAATGTCATAATTCACCTAAGACCTAAAGCAAGGGATACAGCAGTTGTGTGTGGAAAAATAAATGAACACCTTAAAAAGTTTAACCTTCTCCTCTCAAATTGCTGCTGGTTTTAAAACTCTCTAGGGGTGCACAACAGCCCAGATGTAGAGATTAATATTTCACACAACAGAGATTTGGAATCTGAAATGTATGATGATGCCAGCTAGTCTGATGTTTTCCAGGTGTTCTGATCTGCATTGCATGACTCTTTTCTCCATTTCAAAGATGAATCAAGCAAACAAAATGAAATGGCTTTAAAACCAATTACTGTATTACTTTAAATTCCATTGTAACACTGATTAGGATTGTTTGCTCTCTTGTTTAGGGGCCAATACATAAAAAAAACATAAAAAAACAAAGTAACAAACTGAAAAATTTAAAGGTTTCAAAATCTTAAGATGTAATGGACAACAAAGAAGGAGAAAAACATAAACCTGAAATAAAAACCAAAATGACATGCAGAAATCTAAGGCTCTCAGGATTTAGAATTTGGCGGGGTAAATCTCTAGTAAATCAGTGCTGTTCCTGAGGTTACATGCACATGGACACTGCTTGTTGTTGGAATATTGAAACCAGGCTGCCCTGTGTTTTGTTACACAAACTGTCTGAATGGGTGTCTAAGAATTAAAGGAATTTGAACCTGCAGTCTCCATCATCCTCCAAACCACACCACTATCCGATGGCTTCAGTGTAACTGGTTACCATTCATGAACACACACACCCTCACACAGTGGTTTGCATTAGGCTCACAATAGTGATTGGGGCTGGAAAAACCAAACCAAAAAAAACTAATTATCTTTGACTCTGACATAGGCTGGACAGTAATCCAGGATTTTAGTCTGTTGGAATCATAGACAAAAAATGCTGAATCCCTATGACAGCAAATATTAATAAGGAAATCCTGCTGTATTCCTCCCGGCACACAATTTAACCCCATCCTTAATCATTAGTCTCTGTGGGATGAGACTACCGAGGTGAACCTCTGCGTGTGAGACTCCCAGGCTCCCATGCCCTCTCTCTCTCTTTGTGTGCTTGTTAGAAAGAAATCTTACTCTCCAAAGACATCTAGAGGCAAGCCAACTTTAAAAAGTCAGCCCAGAGAGGCGAATCCGTGTAATCATGTTCCCCAGTGTTTTGTCTCCTCTTTTGTCTGAGTCTCCTGCAGCTGCAGGGTGGTATTGATTAAAGAAGAGCAAGATCAGTAGTTAAAGCGTTCTTTTTTCTTAGCTATACCATGTAAAATTGCCTTAAAATGTTTTAAACTAAACTTCAGATACATAGATAAATTTTTTCCCATATATATGTGAAAAAATCATATATATATCACATATATATTCACATAGATTTTTTTCACACACACACACATATACATATATATATATATATATATATATATTCAGACTGCAGTAAATCCAACAATTACTGCAACTTAGAGAATTTATAAACTGCTCTGCTAATTCAATGTCGCTTCTCTGTGCTGGTTTCTCTTTTTAAACCAAATAGGTTTGAAGTAAAGGTACCACTGGATGTGTCTCCATATGTCTGCATAATTACTGCCTCTCTTGAGCACTGAGGGGACAAATCAGAATGGTACTTATTGACTTGGAGACCCATTGAGAAGGAAATTGCCATTTCAAGTGTGGGTGAGGAGGAAACTGTAATTGGGTGCCAAAAAGGGCAATTTGTTTCACTCTGAAACATGTGATCAAGATGTGAATTCACTCGCATCTGGTTTTCTGCTGTAATTATTCCCCATATATATTTTCATTTAAAATGAAATTACTAAGTATAAAATATTGAAAAAGACAATTAAACATCCCCCCTGGGAGATTAACATACTAATGTGTTGCTGTGTTCATCGACATACTTAATAGGAATATTTCCTCCTAACACTTTCTCCTGTTGCTTTTCTTGTCCAGAGGAAATCAATACCACAAATACTTCTATATTAAATATGAAGCTTGTTCTCTTACTCTTCACATTCTAAACAAACAATTTTCCCATCATTTTGTAACTCTGAATTTTTAAAGAGGTTGGAGGTAGCAGATCTGTGATGTTCAAATTCCTTTTCACTTCCTCACATGGTTCAAGTTAATATTGCAGGTTGACAACAATTGAAGGTTGAATTATAGCCCTTGAACACACTTTTAAATCATTTAATTTAACTTCAGTGTATTTAATTGGTGTTTCACTGATTGAGCAACAGATATAAATAAAGTCATACTCATTAACTGGAAGGATTATACAAAATAAAACTGAAAATTATAAAGCTGCACACCACTAACTTAAAAATGGAGTGCAATTCCCAGAAATGAAAAGATGAAAAATCTGCAGATGGTACAAGCTTTAAGTTTTATTTTGCAGCACAATTATCTAATGTATTATCCTCAATATACCATAAGATGTAATAGCAAATAAGTTTAAAAATGTTTTCAAAAAATTTTAATTCATAGCAATCTTGAATGTCGCTGTCTACCATTTTTATCCTATGTAAATATCTTCTAATACCCGTCAGTTTTTATGCAACTAAATGTACCGACAGCAAAACATTCTAATAATGAAATTCAAGTTAATTTTATTTGTGCCCTTATGGTTAACAAGAGAGTTTTAAACCTAAATTATTTTAAAGTCTTGTTTTAGCTCTCTCATTCAGATCAAACATAAAAGCTTTTGTGAAAGCAAAGAGCTATAAAGTCAGCGGACAGATGACACTTTTTGAGACAAAGCTCCTCCGCTTCTGGCAGGGCAGCTAAGCTGCCTTGCCAACGCAGAAATGAGTGGCTGATTCTGTAATGGTGGTCCAATGGCAGTGATTAGGAATAGAGGGTCTATTTATCATCAGTGATTGTGGCTCTCAGCAAGAACTGCAGAAGGTACAGTAAAAGGGAACAAGTGAGCTGACAAAGGGTTTGTCAATCAGGCTTTTACTTCCCAGAGCAACCTCAGTAGATTACAAAGTAGTCCTTATGAAGGGCTTCTATTCTCACTGATCCAAGGATTTATCTTGCATACATTGGAGAAAACGAAAAAAAAAAAATGTGACTTTCTTTTTTGGTTTTATTTAGTTATGTTTTTTTTTTAACATAATATATTTTCCAGGAACAGCTAAAAGAACAAAGAAGATTAAAAACTTCTAACACAGTACACAACAAAATATGCGCTGAAATAAATCGACTCTTGTAACATCATAATGCAACATTCCAAGAAAGAAGATTGAAAGCAGTGCTGAAATCCTCTTAAATTATGTTTCATGTGTCATATTTATCTCTACTGTACAGAAGAACAATCCCCTACCTTTACATGAAAAAAAGAGTCTGAGGCATTTTCCTTAGCAGGCAGCTGCCATCGCGGTTTACTGTTACCAATTTGATTGTCATGACATATCTGTGCCTCATTACATTGTTCTAGTTGGGCAGAAAAATCCCTTTAGATGTTGAATCTTTTATCAAAGGAAACTCATTCCAAACTAAATTTGCGACATTTGTTGCTTTCTTTCTGTTAAAGGTATAGAGGACAATTTCTATCACCGGGTGGATCATCTAAATAAGTGCTCCTCCTAATTGTCAGTACTTCTGATGATATGTTTATGTAAGGTTGTTCTAACTGCTTGCACCGTTTGCTATCTTTTTTCTGCACATGTGCACTTCCAGGTGTATATATGTGGTGAGCTACGGTTTCAGACAGTCATTGAAGCTCACCTTTCTTACACCCGTTCTTTGAAAATGGCCGAGGGTCGTAATAGAAAAAGTGTCTATGAAGTGAATTAGAAGAAAAGAAAGGCCTCAGAAGAGGCACATATATCCCAGAATGCTTTGCATGGAGAGCTCTCCTCGCAAAGCATTATACAGTAGCATTTGCTGTCACAGCGGCCTGCTGTCGCAATAGTCTGTGGCTACCAGGCAGCGGCGACTCAAAACAAAGGCGCAGACACTGTGCGGTGGAGGAGGAGTTACGTAATCAACTGGTAGCAAATAGCAGTGTTCATCTGTCCGGACAATCAGTTAACTGAGTTTATTATAAAGTCTACTACATCGTCCCCATTGTATGTTGATACAGTAAAGCCGGGCATACGCTGTGCGATTTTTTTCAATCATTGCACGCAGCTACAGCTCACACTGTAGAGAGGGTGGGTCTTGTAAAAAAGTCCTCAACAATACCTTTAAGATTCTCTTGAACCAGAGGCAAAATCAAACCTGTGCTTTGCTGCTAAAGGGAAAATAAAAGTTAAGGTTTGCTCTGTTTTTTATAAAAAACATTTCATAATTGTCCTTAGAGATAGACATTATAAAGATGCAGATTTGTTTTTTTGACAGGATTGGACACCTGCCCCTACCACCAAAAGCACCCATACCTGGTTTAATGACCATGGACATAATCTTCTAGATTGGCCTGCAAACTGAATCAGATGAGAAACAGTATCTCTGGACTGTATCAATACTTACAAAGATTAAGCTACATTCACACTGCAGACCTTAATAATCAATATGGATCCAATTGTTTGCGTGCACATTCACACATGTATGTGATCTTCTGTGTGAACTGCATTCATACAACTTAAGAGTGGCGGTAGAGTTTGCAATGACATCTTGAGTTGTGAGCTTGATCTGTGTTTAAGGAAGAAAACATGGATAATAGGGCTGGAGCGCTTCTATCATTCCTTTCCTGTGGGAACCAATACAATAAAAACTGAATCTTTTCCAGGAGGCCAAAGGGAAAGACCACTCTCCACATTATCACCATGGGTGTTTTTTTTCTTCCTACTTCTGCATAACAAGATGCAGATTAGTGACCTATGTTGAGTATTAATGACATTCAGGTCAAAGGAATGAGAGCTTGCTGTGAAAAGATCAGATATGTATCAGGTTAAGGACCACATAGCCAAATTGCATGGGTTGCATTTGAAAAAATCTGATGTAAGTTGTTTATACTGTCATGAAAGGATCAGATATAGGCAACATTGAGGTCATTTCAACCTGCAGTGTGAATGTACCCTTCGATGCAGAAGATCCTACCCTGCAAACGCAATGACGGCAACTAACAACACAATCAGGGCTTCCTTAACATTTCAACAGAACAACTCATTGATCATCTCAATGTACCACTACATTAACACAGTAATTCATGCAATAGGATCAATAGTTTTATACAATGCATATACTGTTCAGTACTAAAACACTTTTCAGTTTTCCTAAATTTATCATTATACATCCTGCGAAAATTTTTCTTTGTATTTAAGGTAACAGGATTGAAGTTTTTTAATACGTAAATACAATTGCAACACCAAACTGAAATTATGAATTCAAGTTTTTAACGATGTTCTAGTTTACTGAAAAGTACCACTTAGGAAAAAGAGCACCAATGCTTTTCTGCAAGCCTGAGGATGAAGTTTAAAAAAGAAAATACATATTCTTTTACCGTTCCGTTATTTTATTGAATATCCTAATTAAAAAAAGAAAAGACAGATAATGACAGCTAAACTATATCAACTGCCTATGTGCTAACCAGCCACTACCAGCTTATTATACAGTACTTGAAGAGTTTATACAGTATATAAAGAGAAGGAAAGCAAAACGATACATTGTTCAACAACTTAAGGTCATAAAACCACTGTTAAAGAAACCTTTAAGTTGTAATTGTTTTAGGTTTTTTTGCAGAACTATTTATATCAGTGTTATGATAAATCGATAAACAATAAAAATGTGTTTTTACCACCACTTACTACAGGGTGTGAAAATCACATACTGTACTGCAATTGAAACCATTTATGCACTAAACTGCTTACTTGTAAAAGCAAAGCTTTTCTTAACATGCTTGTCTGGGATTTAACTTTATGTGTCTCATCTTCTAGCCTAAAAATATACTACATAAGCAACTGCATACTACTTTAAAAAAATGCTTCAAGTATTCAAATTATCCAAGTAATGAAAGAAAAATTAGCATTTTAATGGGTCAACATAATGTAATTGCTGTGCAGGAGGGGCCACAACAGAAAAGAAAATTGATTAATGA